TGATAACAATCGAAACGCCTGCCATTTGATATAATAATAAAAATATATATCAACCTTCACACAGCAGAGTTACGTAATTATCAAAATAACATGTGATAAAAGAGGAATTTCTCTCAATACTTAGTTGAAGTAATTTATTGCCAATAGAATTGAAGTAAAAGAGGTTAATATGCTCAATCATATCTGGTTGTATGTGGATGAAAAGAAAACAAATATCCGCATAAATTCCAGTCTTTGAAATAATATTCTCGTGTTGGTGAGCTTCACTGAATGCCGGGGCCGTTAAAGCCTTTAGGGACAATAATTTTCTTATAAGACGTTCTTAGGAGGGGAAAAGTTTGCATTAATTTTAAACACCAAATGAAAATCAGTATTTACATTAATGAGTATGTTCAAATGCCAAAAATAAGTGCAGTTTGAAGCATCAGCGGCTTTATTTTCACTTCTTCCCTAATACGTTAACTAAGATGGGGTGTGCGATAGACTTACCTCCACGTGGTACACCCTGGGCAACGTGCACTCATACGGCAAAAAAGTCTATAAATCGGCAGTTGACTTCCGACTTCAAACTGCCATCACCCCACTGTATGTCAAATTCGACTACTCGACTTCAAACTGCCATCACCCCACTGTATGTTATAGTCTACCCTTCCATAGTACTCATCTTACCCTTTCTGAGCCTTTATGTCTGTTTCTTTACGTCTTTGAAACACCCTTCTATTCCCCCTCCTGAATTCTTCTCACTTTGATGTTCCTCCTTCCCTCTGTGAAGCCCGAAGTCAACTAAACGGGTAATGATAACTATCAAAACCCCTGCCATTTGTTATGAATGATGAATGACGTTAACTAAGATAATAATTAATGGTGATGTTTATGAATATTTATTTTGACTACGCATATTACTAATAAAATTTTTGGTATGGGCTTGGAAAAACTCTCTTGAAAATCTAGAAACTCGTAAATGATCAACTTGAGTGAATGCAGGTTGAATAGCTCTGCTAACTTGAAACCCATGTCTAACTCATTTCTGCTTTGTTGTAACCATCAGTTGGCGTATATTTTCTGAGCCCCTTCGCTCACTCAATCATTGAAGAGGGGGGTGGGGTGGGGGAATAGATATAAACTTCAAGACCAACCTCATATGGCAATAAGGACTGAGCATTGTAGGCAAATATTAACTGCAATTGAGAGAACGAGTCACGAAACTTGAATTTCGGAAAGTGAGTTGCCCATTTACTAAATACCATTCAATCTGAAGAGATAATTTTAACGCTTCACCCTACCCCACCCCACCCCCACTTCTCACCCTTACTATTCATTAGAGGACCTGCATTGATTCCTATATTTACAAAATGCAACTTTTTCCATTACTGTGTGTGATGATAACCCTTACACATTTTGGCACTCAAGCAGGAAAATCTTTTGGCAAAGACGAGCCGACCATCATTAGAAAACAAGATACATTTTACCTAAATGGTGTAACCACTTTAAATTTACCCTCCAAAAGGAGCCTTTCATGTACCAACATAAAAAATACATTGGATCTAAATAAACATACACTTTCGGCATTTATGGGAAACCACTTTCTGCTCAAATAAAATGGTCCGTGCCAAATGACTGTACAAGTAGAGACCTACCGAGCGTTCTTGAATGTCGAAGATTTTTGCCGTCAGCATGGCCACATGACTTTCATCCGAACCTAGCCCAGAACCTTGTTTCCCAAAGGAAGCAATGTGAAGGAGGACCAGATAATTTGGCGAAGTTTGTCTCTCGCAACAGTAGAATTCCATCAGGTCTTGAATCATAGAGGGGATGTTAGTGAGAGGACTTTCTGGAGATTGAGTTTGCTCACGCTGTCCTTCCCCAGAATAGTCCAACAATGGCATATGAGACGCCGCAGTAACCGCAGTCATCGATCCTTCCTCTGTTATGGTGTTGGACATGCGTATGGGCAGGTGAAAGTCTACTGTCTTGGGAGTTGTACACACTTGCTTTAGTACTGCACTCACACAGAAATCACTGCTTAAGCCCTATTGGTCAGTGGTATGGCACGCCCGTTGAGTACCAATCAATTAACTCAAAGCGTGCTCTAAAGAGTGGCTTAAAGGGTGCGTGAGTGCTAATCCTTTGGCCTTTTCTTCTTGGATTTGGTGGTGCTTAAGTGAATGACAAATGAGAAGTGTTGAATGCACGACGTTATTCGCCTATTTCCGTTTCACCGGAAGTGAACTAGGAGCAATTATGGCGAATGCTCTTTTCAACAAACTCCTCGCTCTACCCTATTGGAGATATAATTAAAACGTTAAATATGATTTATGTGATTTCTAAAGGTCTCAATGTGTTCACGAAAGCTTTTCTCTTAGTTTGAATTGGTCTTAAGATAAACCGGTCAAAAGCCTCAGTCGTTTCAACCAAGCAAGAAATTTGGAACGCTTTGAGCTCTGAAAAAGGAGGAAAACCCTTCTGCTGTCTCAGCACATCAATTTACACAATACCCAAAGGTGTGTACTAAATAAGACACTTTTCTTTTGAAAACGAGCGCTCAAAATATTGCAAAATTTTATTTGTTAAATTTACCAAAATGAACCTCCAAGATGTTTTTAGATCTGAAAAATGTGTAGATGAAATCGTTCTCATCGAAAAGAAATAGGCGCTTTCTGATAGAGATGATTGGATTCTAGTTATCGATTAATATAGAAGGTGTTTATATTCCCTTTTATCAAATTCCTCGTTGATCATATCTTTCGCTCAAGTAGTTCACCATCTGTAAATTTTTCATACAATGAATTTCAATTGGATTGAGTTTGAGAAATATTTATTTATTTCAAATGGCAGGCATTTTGATAGTTATCATTAGTCATTTAGCCGACTTCGAGCTTCACAGAGGGAAGGAACGTCAAAGTGAGAAAAATGCGGGGGGGGGGGAACAGAAGAATGATTCACAGATGTTTGAGAGACAGACAGACACAAAGGCAGAGAAAATGTAGGGTGAACACTGTAGAAGTGGTCGAATATGTCATACAGTGGGGTCATGGTAGTTTGAAGTCAACTGCCGGTTAATAGACTTTTTCCCGTATGAGTATACGTTGCCCAGGGTGCACCACATGGAGGTAAGTCTATCGCACATCCCAATTTGAGAAATAAGAAGTGCCTATTCTGTGAGATCATGAAATCATTCATTAAATTTAACTTTCACTATCCTTTTCGCAGTGAGACTTTAATCCACCTTTACTAGTCCCCATAGATTTCTAAACAAGGGGTTTGAAAATGAATGGGAATCAGAAAAGGATTCCAAGTCCCTTGGCAGACCAGGCTACTTTCCCCTTTCACATGACGGGAAAAGTCCACAATGTCTATTTACATATTAAAAGCGAATGCCTCCACATGTTTCAGTTATCTGCACTTAGGCTTATATGACACAAT